CAGACCGTGTCTGTGTTTCTAACCAGTTGCTGGATACAAAGAGAAAACTGGCTAAAGTGAAAGAGATTTAGGGTATATATGCGATCAAAACTGTGAGAAAACACTAGTCACTGTTAACTAGGTTTCAAAAACGGATGTAAGGATATCCAAGGCACATCTGGAATGCTGTGCAGACTGTCACGCTACGGCCTCAACAGAGTTTTCCCTGCCAATCCTAACCTCACATTTTTATGACCATGTGTCGGGTTTGTGTCCCTCCAGATTCGCCTCTGTCAGACATGATCTGTGTTTGTTCCATCAACGTTCGGGTCTGAGATTCTTGGTTGTTGTTATAAGAGAATGAAGGCTGACATTGTCTAAGCTTTATGAATTTTTACATAATTGATAGCCTAAAATACATAAAACTTGACAGCAATAAACATAATTGTCTACATTGAGGTCAATGACAAGATGTCACTCATTTGTAATTTTAATTTCCAAAAATACATTAAAATACATACAATGACTTAACTAGCTCTTCTGCGATGAGCATGTTTTTTAAAATATTTTTTTACTTTCATGTTTAAAGAAAAATATAAAGTAAAAAATATCAGGGTAAAACAGCTGTCATGATATTATAAAGAAGAAAAAACCTGATTAAAAGAATGAAATTCTTGAAAAGAAAACTAAAACTTTCTATAAGAGAAAAATAATATTGTAAAAAAAAAAAAACTCATAACTCTGCAATAAGTATCTTAAAATATTAGATAATTTGAACTTTTTTATAAAAAGCTAAGTTAGTTCAGGTAATATACAGTGTATATATATATATTTAGATATTTTTTTTTATCTAAAGCGACTTACATTGCATTTCAAGGTACACATTTACATGCTTATCAGTTCTTGTTTTCCCCTGGGAATCGAACCCATGACCTTGGCGTTGCAAGCGCCAACGCTCTGCTGTTTGAGCTACAGGAAAAAAAAAAAATATATATATATATATATATAGAGAGAGAGATAGATAGATAGATAGATAGATAGATAGATAGATAGATAGATAGATAGATAGATAGATAGATAGATAGATAGATAGATAGATAGATATAGATTAATGCTGTCAAATCGATTAATCGTGAAAGTTTTTAAAAATTAAAGTTTTTGTTTACATAATATACTGTATGTGTGTATATATTATTATTATATTATATATGTCTGTGTGTGTGTGTATATACATGTACACATAAATATATGTATGTATAAATATATGTGTGTGTATATACAGTATACTTTTATGTTAGATGCTTTTACTTGATTAATCGATTTGACAGCACTAATATATATATATAGTTGTGAAGCTTTAGCCAGATAAATGTAAGAACAATAAAGGACTGTGATGTATCAAATCTGTATGCTTTAGTGATTGTTTATCAGTCTCTCAGACACTTAGTATGGAGATAGAGAGGTGTCTAGGGGCCTTCCGGTGTCCATTACAATCACTACTTTTCAGGCGGCTCAAAGGGTGACTCAGCCTGAATCCCTCAGTTCCCTTGTTGCCATGGGTTACCTGTTTCCTTTTCCAGTCCCCCTTTAGTTTCCATGGCTATGAAGTAGGAGGAAAAAGGGCGAAAGCCCGAAAAACAAATAGTGAAGTACAGTTAGCGAGATCGTTTGAATTTCAATTTGAGTTTGAGAAAAGAAAGAGTCGTTATGTGGAGCTTGCTTGAACTAAATGACCGGGAGACTTGAATTGGAATTTGGAAAATGAAAAGAAGATGAAGATTTGTGAGGAAGGAAGGGGCAAAAAAGGGACAAAGTTCAAACAGGAGGTTAAAGGGGAAGAGTCTTGATGGCATATTAAAGGGACGAGGTTAGAAAGACAGTGAGCATGGAGGGAATAACTGGAAGGAAAGCGGGTGTGTGTGATTTACAGCACTTCACTCTTGGAATGCCATGCTGCAAAACAGTTATGACAGTTGCCTAGAAAACATAGAAAGTTTCCAAACACAAACAGCTCTATGCACACAGATCTCCACCTTTCATTTTGTGTGTGCGTGCAGGTGAAGTTTGAACCCAAGCTGCAATCCAAAGGCAATAAATTGGCTAAATCACAGCGGCGACAAAGACTTCAGTCTGGGTGGCCGTTTACTGTTGTAAGTGATGTCTGAATCAACACAAACTCAAGAAAGAGGATAAGAGGCTGATGGAGCCATAACTTCACACAGTTTAAATGTGGCATGACGTGCAGAGTCACAATGGAAAAACACTTCTAGAGCTTCCAGTCAAGGTTTATTGTTGTTGCCCACCTACAGAGTATACGAAAAGAAACAAAATGTGTTTTTTTTTCCATTGGAAAGACAGTGAGACATGTTTCATCTTTTCAGATTTACATTTTCCATCATCTAATGCAAAACGAATAAATGTAATCTTCAGGAAGTCTCGAAATGTAAAGTAGCATTTTACATGATAATGTTTTTGTTTTATTTTGAATTTATTGAGACAAAGTAATATGGAAATGTAATACTGACCCTTTATTGTTATCAGCCACAACATGACAATAATGCTTAGTTTATCAGTAACGTTCAGAATTTTATCGGTGCATCCCTATGGAAGTTTGCTTTTTGCCATTGTTTTAGCTTTTATGAGCCACCTAAATCAGAGCAGTGAACTCCATTATTTTTGCATATGATATAAGGTTAGCTGTTTGGCAGAGACACATTTATGTGGTTAAATGTAAAAGGAATGTGCTAGTCAAATTGCAATCCGATCGATCAAGCGCTTTAAATGACTAAGCATAAATAGGCCCTTAAGAGCTTTTAAATGTAGACTAACTGTAAATGCTATAAATGTAAAATGATACCCTCTTATTCAGAGCTAGATGAGAAAAATATCTTATTTATATACAAATCTGTAAACTGTTCCACTGTCAATGAAGCAAATTGCATGAGACATAATCTAATTATAATCTAAATCTATAAGTTAAAGTTTTATCTTATTGCACGGGCATTTAATTAATCAAAACTTTGTTTTATCTTTGTATTCATAGTTTATCTTTTTCTCTTTATCATCTGTCTTAGACTTTTAATCTGTAAAGCACAGTGGTCAATTATTGTGTTTATTTGTGCTATATAAATAAGAAAGAAAGAAAGAAAGAAAGAAAGAAAGAAAGAAAGAAAGAAAGAAAGAAAGAAAGAAAGAAAGAAAGAAAGAAAGAAAGAAAGAAAGAAAGAAAAATCCATATGGTTAGCCTATAATACTGTGCTTTTAAAAATCATTTTTGTGATAATTCCACCTGCAAGAAATGAAAATAAGAATTACATAACAGCTATTTTAAAAGCAAAAAGAGATTTAGAATATGTTTCAGTGATGAGCTCTTGCTTTATTTAATTATGTGTAATGTGCCTCAGTAGTGTGTGTTTAGGGACACATAACAGCAATATCTGCTGTCAGGCTATCAGTTGTTAGACACTCTGTGGGGTCATGTGTGCCTTCCAGAGGTCTCACACGCAACTTTGTTTGTGTGCAAGTGTGTGTATCTTTGCTGTATTATTAGTAGAGGATTGTGGAAAACTATTGCTCTGTATGAATGGATGTTTCAACACACTCTTTAAAAGCATTTGGACCTAAACTTTCAGGTCGCCCAAGGGAGGCTTGGCTAGTTGGAAACTTCACAAACTTTCATGGATCTACATCTATTCTCAATATATGAGATGCCTATAGACAATATATGTGATCCCAGCACATGCAAAGGAAATAGGTCAGATGATGTTTACAACAGTAGCTTGAGAATAAGATAAAAGCATGCTATCAAATTGACTTTCTTTTTATGATGAGCTAATTGAGTGAGGGGATTGGCGTCAAATAAATGTCCTAAGCAATTTGATTTATTCAGGGACAAGACTATGTTTAAAGCAAATAGTAAAAATAAACATTCATGATTTATTCATTGCTCAACACATCAAATGGGGTTATTGTAAAAAAGATAACTTGATAATAGAGTGTTTCTGAAATGATTAAACGGGCAATAAATTCAGAATTTAGTGTGTTTCAGTTTATTGAAGTGGTGGTCAGTTCTTGGATCAACAGTTCTGGCCTGGGTTTGAGTCTTGTGGTTAAACAAGTTTGGTCTAAGAGGGTCTTTGTCTTGATGTGGGTCTTGGAAAGAGTCTTGAAATGTCTCTTTACAGCAGTTAGGTGGCAGTGCACTAGATGATCGTGTGGGACAAAAGCATATCCACTGATACTTGAGTACGGGGACAAAAACAGGCTACAAAAAATGTCTATATATATATGAAAGGAAGTATTTTGGATATTTTGTTCAGGTATTGACCTATTTCTGGATTTCCAGCTTTTTCCATTTTCTCTCATGTGATTTTCTTTGCCCACCACTCAATATACAGTATTTATGTACATTTAAAATGTAAAAGCACTATCAGATGCACAAATAATGTGCCAAAACATATTATAAACATTGACAAATTAAGCATTCCCTTGAATTGAGACCACAGATCTTCGGTTCCATCTATTGAATCATCACAGAAAGTCTTATGGTATTGACAAAATAATCATATTTCGCAAATCACACGTATTAAATTCAGTAAACAATTTATTTTCAATTTATTTTTCTCAATACTAATAGGATCTGCTTAAGCTTGTGTCACAAGGCTGTCTTTGATTTTGCCTGATTTTATAAATGTGTTCATAAGTATCTGACCGTGTTTATAAAATGTAGAGACACAGCTTTGACAATTTAGATGCATCTTTAAAATTATTTTAAGGACAAAGTCATTTCTTTAGTAGTTCTGCAATAGTAGTTTATTACTACTATTTATAGGCCTAGACTGAGTATAAGCAGGTGGTTTAGTTTTAGGGGTAGTGAGCGATGCACCTCTCGGCTTTAACCGGTCGGGGGCGACAAAACCCAAGAATGAGACCCAATAACATCAGCCATTGTCACCATGAATTTCCTGCGCTGGATGTGCCTGGCGTGGCTGTGGAAGGAAGGGAGGGATGGAGGAGGAAAACGCAGGCACTGCGGGAAGAATAGAGAAACCTGAACCCCATTCGCACTGGGGAAAATAGAGGGAGGAGTGAGACACACGCCGTGTGATTATTATAGACGCGGCCATTACATTGAGCAGCACGGATGGGGAAAAAAAACATAATAAAGCTGGTACCGGCGAGTCAAGACCGCATCGGCAAAGGAATATAAGAAGTACCGTCCGGATACCGTTTCATTGAGGCCTCATATCTGCTTTCGGAAGGAGTCGAACGGACCGCCCACCGCACACAGACACACACATACTTGAGAAGCGCACACATATAAACCCAATCACCGGCCCGCACGCGCTACAATGGACTTTAAATACGATAACCGTTGGGATTCTGATCTAAACCAATGAAATATGGGTTTATTTAGTAGTACATCTAGATTTGAACATTTTCAAGCGTTTAACCGTAATATATGATAAGGGATATTTACTACTCTAAAGATAGATATTTACGCATTTTTATTTATCTAATCTTGTTTTGACCGCACATATAGGAACCGCAGGTCCAGAGTAGCTTTGTTTCACTAGATTTATTTAATTCGCCGTGTTTACGAACACCAAAAATAATATAATACGCGTTAGAAACACACTGAAACGTGAGTCGGTATCCACTGTGGATATTTACCGCAAAACGGACTTGACAGCTGTTGTCGGACGACCGGGTTCCACCGTCCTGGATTACTCCATCAGCGGGCCGCTGTGAGTCGGCCAGCGGGAGTGAGAGACGCTATGGCCGGCTTCGTCCCGGGCTTACTCCCGGTGAATCACTCCCAGGAGAAGGAGTTCGCACAGGCGTATGAGGATGTGCTGGAGAGATATAAAGGTAAATGACTTGCTAAAGCTCCGGTTTGTTGTGTTGTTTACTTTGGTAAAAGTTTGTATGCGACTGTTGTAGCTGTTATGTTGAGCTTTATATTTGCTATTTGTTGTCAGTTGTCCAAGGACAGAGGTGGATGGTGGGTCTCTTTTCCCATTGGTTTGTAAAAGGGCAGAGGACATCTAGTGCTTCTGTGTAGTGTTATATTTAGTGTTGTGAATTAGCAATTTTTCTAAGTTATAAATTAAGAATTAAAAGGAGATGTTTTTTTTCTAGGGGCCACACTAAATGGTAATTTAATTAAAACCCCTTTTGTGTCCAGTTGTTCAAGGCTATCCAGTATTCCAGTGCTGCCAGTGCTTGTCCATTTTTTCACACTGCCGTCAGAGCTTGTTTAACAGTGTCCCGGCTTGTCTTCTATTCTAGTCCACTGCTGTCTGAGCTTGTCCTTTAGTATGACTAGTAGTTGTGGTGCCTTGAGTTTGTCCAGTATTTATCTACTGCAGGGGCTCCCAAACTTTTTTTGTCAACTGAAACCCTTAGACGTAAACATTTACTTGAAGTATCTGAGATTAAGTTGATATTTCAATAATTGAACAACTCATTCCAACGGTCATGATTCTGATGTCAGTTGATCACACTGGGATTTTAGAATTCCAAACAAAATGAATTATCATAATAATAATAATAAGGATCTATATTATTATTATTAGTTATTATTATATAAAACTGTAATTGCTTGTACTGCAAAATAAAATAAACAATTATGAAAATTACACCACAAATTACAATACTAAAATAAATTATTATTTTAAATAACATCTGACATACATTATGTTCTCAAAGGGACATTAATCTAACAGCACATTCACAGCATTTCGCTGCATTTACTGTGATCTGAGCAGCTCTGAGATGCTGAAAACATGCATGTAAATGACCACAGTGTTGTGCTTCACTCTGAAACAACACACCAGGCTATATACTTATCTAATTAAATCACAGTCTCTGATTTAATAATCACACTAAGCTGTATTGCAATTTCAGTTTATTTTGATTAAATGAGTAGGCCTAATTGTGCAGCCCCATTTACTTATTTCCTCATGAACCCCTGTTTGATTGGGATACCCTAGTGTCCCAGCTTGTCTGGTTGTCCACAGCTGTCTGAGCATGTCCAGTTGTCCAGAATCAGTGAAGGATGGTGCTCAGATGGACAGCAGTGAACCCCTGAGGGCCACAGAGGGGCTGCTGATGTGTACATCTAATGACAGTGTTTCTGTGAAATATGAATACTTCAAATGAAATTGACCGTGATGGGAATATAAGGGAGTGATGCCAGTTGACTCGGAGAGCATCTGTGATGCAGCCTTGATGAAAAGGGCCCTTTTAATTATTGATTATTGTAATGAAATGCGATTCTGTTGGGGCCTTTGGGACAGGGGCCTAAGATAGCACCAAGAGTTCTATTTTATAGACTGTGATCTTAATGGATCCTTTGTAACTGATCATCTGTAAAAAATAAAAAAATAAAAAAGTGCTTATCTTTGTGAAAAGGCTTTGATATCAAAGCAAGTAAAGTGTTTTTTTTATTATTATTTAGAAACATAACCATTGTCCATTAGAGACACTACAAAATCACCTCTAATAATGCTTTTAAAAATGGAAGCTCAGTTGATGTACTAATGCATCCAGCCTCTCCCCTCACACTGTATATCTATTCAAATGAATGTTTGTTCAAATAAATGTATTTCCTTTGACTGACGTTTTGAGAGGCTAAAGAACAAGGCTAACATGAGCAAGTGCTGGCCTCCACAGAGCGTGTTGTAAATCAAGCTTAATTAATTGTATGCATTACACCCACATTACCCAACAGAAAATTTCAAAGTGGTTGCCATGGGTGGGAGTTGTTTTATTTTGATGAATGAAAGACTTTGATAAAGAGCAGGAAAGTCTAAACTTATGCAACCCTCAACTTACTTCTTGTATTCTAATTATGCCTCTCGTTTATTCTTATTCTTTATGTATTGACACAGGCAGCCTTCCTCTTTTCTTCCCAGGCTATAGATTTAATAGTCAATATTTAGCTTTATATGCCCCGCTGGTATTCAATTGAATGTTTATGTCACTGTATCTATTGTGACGTTTACTTTTTTTATGCCGAGCAATGTTTAAATGGACAGTTAGGCCTATTATTTTTTTTTTTATTAAATACTTTATGTACACTACCAGTCAAACAATTAGACATACTTGACCTATACATGATAATAAAAAATAATAAAAAATAAAAAAAAATCTTTACTAAACTATTTACATTTTAAATTATTATTATTATTTTTTGTAAATAGAAGACTGGACTGGATATTCTAAAAGCTTAAGATTTAAATGCTTGAAAATAGTTTTGTGGACAAATATAAATTGGGTCTATGACTAACTTTTTCATTAATATTTAAAATGTGATTTAAAATTATTTTGTGTGTAAGTGGATAAACTGGAAGAAAGCAGCAAGTGTCCACGTCCAGCATACACTGGGAAAAAAGCGTCCCAGGATGCACCTCATGACATTGGTTGAGAGTGAACTCAAATGCAGAAGTGTTAAGATGGAAAAAAAAAATTGTTCACCACATAATTTTTAATTGTATTATTTTAAAATGTGGAAAATATTAATAATAATGAGTAGGTGTGTCCAGGCCCTTGACTGGTTGTGTACATTTCCTCAAGTATCACATGATGTTTTCAGAGCTTGAGGCTTTCTTCAGTGTCAATATCATTTCAGTATCATCAAACTTCCCCCATGGTTGCAGGCAAACACTTCAAATGTGTGTATTACTGGATGTTTGTATAAAGCTTTCAGCTGCGTCACTTGTGGCAGTTTCAAGACGGAGGGGAAATGTGAGAAATGTGAATTTGGTGGCTTGTTGAAGGTGTCACTTGAAGCTGAAATCTGAGTGGTATACATGATACAGGGATTGAATAATTCAGGGGCCTCTGTATGCGAGTGCATGTCTGTTTATAAGAGGGCGGTGGTTATTTGGACCATATTTATATTTAGTTTTGAGCATAAGTTTTCCGTATGTGTTGTTAACTGAAAACAATAGCAGGATATGGAAGACCGACTGGTTTCCAGAATGAGACCGAACCATGATTCAGATGAAAGCAGACTCGTTCAGGAAGCACAGTGATATACAAACCACAGCAGGTTGCAAATGACTGAAATGGACACAGCCCAGGTGCCGAACGATGGGCAGATGTCACTCCGTCTCTAAACCGGACTCGACCGCTGTCGCGTCGCACCAGCGGCCACTGTCCTGCAGAGTTTAGCTCCAACCCTAATTAAACACACCTGAACAAGCTAATCAATGTTTTCAGGATTACTAAAAAATAATTTTTGTCAGGGTTGGAGCTAAACTCTGCAGGACAGTGGCCCTCGAGGACTGGAGTTGCCCATCCCTGAGCTAGAAGCTGTCCGCACTGACTGGACGCGACAAAACGACCGTTGCAAATCCATTTGTACTTCGTATCAGAAGTAGCATGAGCGCTAGGAGTACTTCAGAATTACAATGGAGCACTAGTTTACTGTCTGGAATTTATCGTGTCGCACCCAGTGAGTGTAGACGGCATCACTGATTGATTATAATAGGCTTTATTTGCTTTTGTCGTGTAGTCACGCTGCTCACATCTGAGACACGGTGTAAGACAGATACAGTTGACATCCTGGAGACATGCAAGGAGAAATATTAAATAGTCACAGTGTCACACCAGACCAGAACTTATTTGAAAGATTATACACAAGTAAAATCCTTCATGAGATGCATAGGAAACAGGCTCTTTTGTGTCCAATGTAGATGCTTGTCACTGAAGATTTTATGCCATATCCGGCTTTGACTCATGTCCCCAACTCATTGTATTTGCCTCACTCAGTTTTATTGGCCTTTGGCCTATTCACCCTGTGCTGCCTGATCCCAGTGACCCTCAAACATACACAAACACTGGCTCCACAAAGTGTGTTTGTGTGTGTCCGTTTCCTCTAGTGAGCCAGAGGAAGTGTCAGTTTGGAAGGAAGCCTCTTTTAGCTGTCTCGTCAGTTTCTTTGTTTGTGCTGTAAACACAGTAAAGAGGATCCAGCAGTTTTTTTGCTAGAATACTTTTCATATTACTTTTGATTATTAGTTTTTTATTATTATTATTATTTTGAAAGCTAGTTAGTCATGCCTGCTGCAAACCTCTAACTTTAGAGATAAAAGTTGAGACAGATTTTTTCTTCTATAATGTGACATGCATCCTAATGAAACGGATTATCGAAAAAGAAGTGACAAGTCTGTTGTTTCACCGGAACTGAGTTATGACATTTTGATGAATAATTACGAGGTCAAGAAAAGAAACCCATGCATGGATGAATTGATCCCGCTAAGGTCAATAACATGCGTTTAGAAAACAGATAGTGTGAAATTTATTTCATTACAACTGGTTAAGGTTTTAACGATCATCCTCGATCATCATGCATTAGCCTACTTCTGCTACAAATTTTCTAAGATATTTTCACCAAAAAAACCCAAAACGAAATAATTTATTGATTAGAAATGATGCGATATGATTTGATTCTTTCAGACAAAAAGTCCCAAAAACAAGTGTTTGTCTATTGAACCTTCAACCATTTGCTGGTTTGGAGGGTAAATGTGAGCTTGAGGCGGTGCACGGAGGCAGACAAATAATCGAGGATAGATCGTTACAACTGTATTTTTCCACGTGGCCTAGTTTCCCCTCAATCCTTGTCATTCTCCCTCTCACGGTAGACTGCGGTGACCATGAGAACATGCAGCCTCGGCCTTGACTTCTGTCTTTCCCCTCCCTCTCTCCCTCATTCTTTCTCTCTTATTTCCTCTCCTACTGCAACGCTGCAGGATTTCCCTCCTTGCACTTCCTGTTTGGGCACATTCTGCACGGCACCTGACTGTGTCAGTGGGGGAAAAGCCTTCAGAGGCCGATCCTCTTCGGTTCCGGATGTTCGGTGA